ACTTTTTTGTTCCAGTTAAAAGACGAGCTGCAGCATTTTGCACAACCTGCAGCCGCCTAATGGACGCATCACTAACCCCAAAATAAAGTGCGTTACAATAATCCAGCCTAGAAGTAACAAAGGCATGGATTACCGTCTCAAAATGCTGTTTCGATAAGAACGGCTTTATTTTGGCTAATTCCCTCAAATGAACAAAGCGAGATCTTACAGCAGCTCTGACCTGGCTTTCAAGTTTAAGATTTGCCTCTATTTTAACTCCCAGATTAGTGATGACTGGTTTAACATACTGTGCCAGTGAACCAAGATCTATAATAGTGGCCTCAGAAGCGCCACCAAAAACCATCACTTCTGTTTTCTGTTCATTAAAATGTAAAAAGTTCAAAGCCATCCAGGCCCTTATATCATCAAGGCATCTGAGCAGCGGCTCTACTGAGAAGCCATTTATCTTTTTAAGTGGGAAATAAATCTGGGAGTCATCGGCGTAGCAGTGGAAAGAAATCCCATGTTTCCTGAAAATAGACCCAAGGGGTCGGAGATATAGAGAGAAAAGAAGCGGGCCTAAAACTGAACCCTGTGGGACCCCACATTGAAGAGAAGCAGAGGATACAAACTCCCCGAGTTTCACCGAGAAAGTTCGCTCTGCCAAATAGGATCTGAGCCACTGCAGTGCAGCACTCCGCATACCCACCAACTGCTCTAAACGGGAAATTAAAATATTATGATCCACTGTATCAAAAGCAGCAGTTAAATCTAACAGCACGATAATAACACAGTCACCTGAGTCATTTGCCAAAAACACATCATTAAAAACTCTTAAAAGGGCAGATTCGGTACTATGTAAAGCTTTAAAACCAGATTGGAAAACTTCTAAAACACCGTGTTCTTCTAGGAAGGACATTAATTGCTTGTAAACTACCTTTTCAAGAATCTTTGAGATAAAAGGCAGTTTGGAAATAGGTCTGTAATTCGCAATAATATCAGGATCAAGAGCAGGTTTCTTGAGTAGAGGCTGAATCACCGCATGTTTGAGATTGACAGGTACAACACCAGAGGACAAACTACTATTTACAATAGATTGTACAGCTGATGCTATAGTGAGAAAAACCTCTTTGAAAAATCGAGGAGGGAGAGCATCATAAGGGGAACCTGAGGGCTTCATGTGAGCAACCAGCTCCTGCAGGCAGAGCAAGGAAACTGGCTCGAACCTGTCAAAGACAGCAGAAGTAGGGACAGGGGTAGAGCCCAAGTACTGAGCCCTGTGCAACACCCTCAAGCAAACTACCAGTCACACACATTCAGCCGGGTGTCACGTGAACATCTGTCCTGCTGGACTAAAACCAGCGCTCAGCTAACGAGTGACACCTGAGTTTGGCAGTGGATCAACAGCTGTGCTCGATCGTGTCACCACTTTCACGGAAAGGCCGTGCACGTGCTGCTTTTCATACAGCGCAAATATCCACAGATACAAGGCGCAACCCGGGCACAGAGTTAAGGTCTCGGTGTGAGCAGAAGATTTAAAATGTCAGACGAGCTGCATTAAATCCACTGAGACGAAACGCTAACAAAACAAAAATCGGTCCAGTTCCTCGAATGAAAGATGAAAATCTGCACTTCAAGCATCTGTTTGGTTTTTAAATCCACGGTGTTGAGAGAGACAACAGCTGTGACAAAAGCACAGCTGTGGAAACATCTGGGCTGCACCGCTTAGAGTTCCACCTTCTGGCTGCAGTAGTGAGTTACATCACAATGGATACTTATCAGTGGGACAGAAACCTTTTCTGTGCTGACGTCACCGAGTCGCCTCAGCTGCTACAGCTCAGCGATAACTGTCCAGGGTTTCATTTCCTCAGCAGTAAATATGATATCTGGTAACAGCAACAGTACGTGGCTCTCCTGAACCCCAAACTGTGACGAGGAAAAACCCTGAAGACCCATCAATCAGCTGGTGTTACTTACAAGTCCACAAGACCCGCTCGCCAAATCACTCGCCAACGACTAAAAACCCAGAGATTTACCGCCGTCATGCTCGCTCTCTTCCGAGCTTCCTGCCAGGGTCGCCGACTCCTCTTCCTTCTTCTAACATCTAGAGACTCGTAGCCAATGGCGTGTGCCGCTCACCAAACTTACACCCTGAAAGAAGCGGCGAGGGCACCGAGCGGGAACCAAAGCCGAGCAGACCTCGCCGTTACAGGCGATGCGACTTAAAGCTGTTCGTTGGAGTAAAACAGCTGCAGCGTTAATTCAGACCGAGGTGTCCACGTTTGGGTCACAACAGCAAACATTAAACAGAACGAGCTGAAGGTCAGAAGACGACAGCGCCGGAGGAGCCGGACATCAGCTCAGCATCAACTCACCGGATCAAAGACCAGCATCCGGCAGAGGAGGTGCACGGCCTCGTGGGTCGCTCCGTCAGACAGCATGTAGAGCACCGACAGCGACGGCTGAGGACCAGAAACAGCACGAACAACAAGTCAGCACCGGAGACGCTGAGACGCTCAACACAAAGAATGAATGCAGCAGAGTCACAGTCAACGTTTTTAAAACTTTAAGACTTCCTGGTTCAAGTGTTTGTGATCGTCTGCGGTACAAAAGTTTCAGACTTTTCAAAAACATGAATTGTGATTGTTTGTGCGAATGTGAGTCTGCAGCTGCAACGCAGCAGAACTTCAGGTCAGATCTGATCTTCCATCATCTGTCCCACATTTCCCAGTAAACCCACCTCATTACCTGGCAGACATTTTGGATGTGTACCGTGTCTGTAAAGCGTTACACAACCACCACACGTTAGCGGGAGCTGCGGGGTGACCGAGTGGGCGGCTACTGTGAACACACGTGTGTAATAAAAGAAAGCAACGCGGCCTTCTTCCAGAGCAGAGCGGCGTGCTGCTGCTCAGCTCACGAGCACACCACGCAGTCACGTACCGGTTTGTGCGGCCCCCTCAGGATGTGGGCCCGGGCGCCCTCGCAGGCCGCTGCCAGGGCCGACAGAGGCGGCGTTCCCAGCAGGTCGGTGATCAGGTCCAGCTGCGACACAGAGACAGACCGCTTCACATCACAGAAGACCAGACAAAGGTTTGGATTTGTGGATCCTCAGAGCTGGAACAGCCGTGCCGCCATCTTTAATCCCACTTTCCGCGGCACGACTCAAACACGGATTCTACCTGAGCCGAGTCCACAGGTGAAACATTTTAACATGTTCATATAAACTGAAATCAAAGCTGAGAGGTGGATGTACATCAAAAGTTCAAAGGTCAAAGTTACGCATACATACCTGAACATCATCTTAGCCACACCTCTGAACTAACAGGAGGAGGAGCTAACCCTGTCACCTGACTCAACCTGTTATCAGCAGCTCTGCAGGTTTTTTTGTTTTTAAATGAATGTGTTGCCGGTTGCCGTGGCGCCCGGCGTCTCACCTGCTGAATGGGACTCTGAGCCTGGAAGAGGATGCGTCGCCCCAGCAGCTCGGCGAAGATGCAGCCCACCGACCACACGTCGATGGCCGAGCTGTAGTGCCGGCAGCCCATCAGCACCTCCGGCGCCCTGTAGTACTGAGTCACCACCTCCTGCGTCATGTGACGTGACGGGTCGGGCTCCTCCACGCGCGCCAGGCCGAAGTCACAAATCTGAGCAAAATGGAAAAACGTCAACGGCTCTATCCGAGTCACTCGAGCAAGCAGCTGATTGGTTTCCTCGTGTTTTGGAAAGGCGGCAACTTTTGTCCCTCCCACAGCGCGGCGTCAGGCCCAAACGCAGCAAAGACGTTTCAACACCACGAAAATCTGAGTAACTTCCCAACGAGTGGTTTCCTCAGACTCATCGGCTCCTCCTGCGTCTGCTTGGTGTAGCTACAAACGCCGCTGTGAGAGCATCGCCGTCTCCGAGCCTGGTACAGGTCGGAAAGTATCTGTTCTATGCGTTAATTATTGCCACAACGATCGTGTTTTAAATAAAGCGCGCCTCGTTTTTGCCCTTAAAAAGCTCAAACAGACGCCCTCGTCCAGTCGCTAAACCCCGCCCCTTTTCCACTCCAGTTTCAGCTTTAACTGGTGATTTCATGAACGGGAGCCGTGCGTCTCTCTGCACCACGCCTGCCACAGACTGGGGATCTGTGACCCCCCCGCTTAAACAGCTGTGATAGGCTCCACCCCCTGGGTCATCAGAAAACCGTTCCAACCTTTTAGCCGCCAGCACTGACCGCGGTGGTTTTGCAGGTGTCGATTTTGCATCTCGACCGTAACGCAGAGCAGCACAAGTTACCATGGCAATGTACTTGGTAACAAGCGAACGCCTTCATAACCCCGGTAACCAGGCCTCGCGGCCTCTGATACAGGCGAGTGCGGCGTTACCTTGAGCAGGCAGTTGCTGTTGACCAGCAGGTTTCCGGGTTTGATGTCTCTGTGCAGGATCCCAGCGGAGTGCAGGTACTTCAAACCTGGACAGGAAACAGAGAGGAGGTCAGAGTTTTAAGCCTTCACCTGCTGAACCTCGATTCTGCACCGCTTATAAACGTCTGTATCGATATGCGCCGAGGTCGTCACCTTCATGAAGGAAAGAGTTAAAGTCGTCCTCCTGGTGAGCGACGACAACGTTTAAATCAGCGGTCCCCGCCGTTCGGTTTATGCCCAACAACATTTTCACAGGCCGGCCTTTAAGGTGTCGCAGATAAATACAACAAAATCAAACCGGCACCAAAAGAAGATTTATTCATAACGCAGGAAAGACCCGGAGAAACCGAGCGAACGATAGAAACGAGCCTCAACTCTCGCGGCCCGGGGACCGCTGGTCTAAACCACCAGCATCACTGTGACGACTTCTTTCACTCTCCTCCGTTTCTGCTATTCTGCTTCCATCTCGAGACATCACACGCCACCGACCCGCCCGGCGAGGTGACGAAGACAACTAACTCCCAGAACTACAGCAGGAAACTCACTTCCTCCAGTAAGTTTTAAATTTCATTACTAATCTGAGATTTAAAGGGAAAGATGGAGCCTGCAGTAGGACACGCTGCTCGCTGCAGCTTATGAGACCGTCACAGGAAAGTAAACAAAGCGAGGCAGCGAGACTGAACGACTGTTTAAATATAGGCCGAGACATTCGGAGGCGGATGATGATCGGCAGCTTTGCCTCTTCAGGAGAAAGATGGACGTGTGCGTTTGAAGCCGGCGGTGTATTTATATCTCGTACTGAACGCGATCATGTCGCTCGGCCCGTGTGGCGGCGGGACGCGAAAGAGCCGGCTCACCTCGGAGGATCTGGTAGAGGAAGACCTTGATGTGGTCCGTGGTGAGCGGCTGAGGAGACACGATCACTTTGTGGAGGTCGCTCTGCATCAGCTCTGTTATCACGTAGCTGCGGGGCGGTGAGCAGTCAAGGAAAAAAAATAAAATGCACACGCTCACACACGGACCGACCTCCGCCTACACGAGCACGACGCATCGCCCAGCACCGGCCTCCGAGGCGGGGGAGCGCCGGGGCCGCCCAGCGAAAAGTGCCGATGTAACATTTTTTAGAAATGATGCACATTAAATATTCATCAGCAGCCTCGTGCTTCACATCTGCGAGGAGCTGGATTTAGACCGGACACCGGCGGCTAAATTAAGCGAGTTAAAGGAGGACGTGAGGGAGAACTAATGAGGAGAAACTGGGACAGAAGGACTGAAGGATACATCTCCTCGAAGCAGTCGATCTGCGGAGGCTGCAGAATGTCCAGAGCCGACAGAACCTGCACGGAGAGAGAAAAACGGCATCAGCTCAGCGTCTACATCCAGAGCCTCTTCAAAATAAAAGCGCCCGCAGGTCGTTACATTGTCGTGTTTGAAGAAGCACAGCATCCGCAGCTCTCTGAAGACCCTCTTGCAGGAGACCAGGTTCTGGAAGACGTTGGGCATCTTCTTCAAAGCCACCTTCCGGCCGTCCCGAGGATCGGTCACCGACCTGTGAGGAAACGAGGCGCACGCTTCCTGTCACAGCTAGAAGACAGTCTGACGACACAGTTTAGGGTCGTTCGGTCTGCAGACACACAACAGCTAACTGCTGCTCAAAGTGAATAAAGTTACAGTGAGTCACAGGTTCAGCGCAGCGACTCTAGTGCTCGACACAAAGCAGGCCTCAGGCCATGGCGGGTTAATCCTTTAAGTTTGGGCTGAAAACGCCAAGTGTGGGGCTCACGTCACACACCTACATCAGCCTCACTGTGAAGCAGAGGCCACGTTCATATGGATGCAACTGCAAATGAGCCGTGTATTCCTCATATGCTGATGCCAAACCACATACAGGGACGTGCACGCCCACGGTACCAGAAGATCAGGGCCAAACATTTTTACTATGACTGTTTAACCAACACGACTCATAAACGTACACAGGAAGCAGAATTAAAGCTTCACAGTAAATGTGCTGGCCCCTCTTTGGGCTGCAGCGTCTCTGGTGGACGGCGCTAATCTAAAGACGAGGGAAGCTGCTCGTCTGCACACGGCTTCACCTGGAAAACAGACATTTATAAAAAACACTAAGTGAGGGGGAACTCCGATTGGTCAGTTACATTAAAATGAATCCCTGTATGAGGTCTTTAAACCTCTGATGTGATTATTAAAGTAAACTGAACAGAGTGTGGAAGACAAGACGAAGAGCAGCATCAGCTCCTTTGACCTTTGAATAAATCTTGTTTCACTGAGCCTGATTTAGCAGCCTGTCACAGACCCCCCCCCCCAGCAGCAGTGAAGATGATGCTGTTGTAGTTTGCGGTGGAGCCTCAGGCAGCCGTGGTTTGGTCTACAGTAATGATGTGCAGTTCTCACAGACAGTTTTACTCTCCAGACTCCAGCTCCTGTACCAGCTGGGAAGCAACCGTGACGTTTACCTGTCGTGAATCCAGCCCGGCTTACAAAACAGCAAACACACATTTTCTAACATGTTCTACACGACCTGTTGACTTATCGGCCCACTGACAACCAATCACACGGGTTCAGGCTTTATCCAAAACACACAACCCTGAGGACAGCTTGGCCAGGTTACAGCTGGGGGGCAAGGCCTCAGGCTGCAGCTGTGCAGAGCATCAAAGGTCTAAAACCACTCAAACCAGCTTAACCAGAAATGATCAGAGGCTGGTGATGAACCCAGATGGCGATGAGGTGATGCCATCTTGTGTGGTGACAGTTTGAGCGCATGTAAACAAAGATGGAGCTGAGTTTCAAGTCTGCACAAACAAGATGGAAGTCGGAGCAGAGGGAGCTTTCTGACAGCAGGGATGTGAAGCATGATTACGATCACAGCGTTTTCTTACCAAACAACTCCAAATGCGCCATAACCGATGGGTCGGTCTGGCTCCATCTCTGCGGGGCTCGGCACCTCGCTGGCTGGGTTGCTGTAGGGCTGAGGCACCGCCGCGCCGCCGCCGGTGCTTCCTCCGAGGGCTGTGGGGTGACGAGGGGTCCCTGCCGGGGCGGTGGGTCCGGTGAGGCACGGTGTGGCGCTGAGGCCCGTGGAGGGGGCTCCGCAGGAGGAGCTCACGCAGAAATACTTGTGGCCCAGCTCAGAGCCCGGAAATAGGTCTCCACACACGGTCTGCCGGCCTGCGCCGTGAAATGCCATCCTCCTCCCGGAGCACCACCCGGACACGGTCGCGTTATCTGCCGCTGCCTGCTGCTGCTAGGCTCGGAGGACCCGCAGCTCCCCGCTAAGCATGCCCAGCCTGTGAAGGAGGCAGACACACGTCAACGCGCTGTGGCTTGAAACACATAAACACGTTCACAGGCCGAAGTGTGCTAGTTAAATCCGGGCTAAATCCAGGCCCGCGGCGGAACGGACCTCCGACACAGCCGAGCCGAGCCACCTTTGTTTGTATCAGGCTGCGCTCACCTGGTTAGTGGAGCAGCTAGCATCCCCCGGCTAACTAACGAGTCAGCGTCCAAAAACAGAAATATAAAATAATCCACCCGCTGCTCCATCACCCAGCTCGGCTGCACAGAGACCACAGCACCCACTCAAGCACTCGCATCGATATTCACTCTTATTTTTCTTCTAAAACCAATAAAACAAAAACGCGTCCGCAGCTAACCAGCTGTTCTGGCTAACCAGTTAACCCCCCCGATGACCCACATAACCATCACCGGCCGGACGAGCTGACCTAGATCGACTAAGAAAGCGAGCTTTCCCCCGCGAGGTCCAAAAATGAGCCTACAAACCTGACTCGGTTAAGCAGCCGATAGCATGACACGGAAACGGGCTTAAAGAAGGCGAGAAAAGCCGAGTTAAATCCTCGAGCTAGCCGGGATGGTTAGCCAGCGGAGCCGCTAGCTGCAGCTAGCTGCGGGCTGCTCACTAGCTGGCCGCGGCGCCGTCACAGGCGGAGAAGAAGCGTCCATATAGGCGGTTTCTCCTCTTTTCCGGGTGGAGGTTCATCCAGCGGCAGGTTCCGAGCGGGGCTTCGACCCAGCAGGGCTTCGGCTCCGGACTACAGCGACAGCTTAGCCCGGCTAGCCTGTAGGAGGAGCAGGTGAAGCCGGATGGGGAGGGTGGATGATTTTATTTTTTTCCCACTCTGCTGTAAACACTGGGTGACAAATTAAAGGAAAAGAAAACCCAGAATAAACGAGGATAAATGCAGGTGCTTCCTGACACAGGTGCGCCACATGGTAACAGCCAATCAGCATCCAGCCCTGTTCTGCACAGGTGTGAACACAGCAGGCAGGTTCAGCGGATTCTGGAGGCGTTTAAAATGGATAAACAGGGCTGATTGTTGGCGTCCATTATTGGTGCAAATTCTGGTATCGGTAGGACCCCACGTAAACACACGGCCGCTATCCCCGATAACAATGCCGATACTTTCATCCAGGTAATGTAGGGGAGAGGTGAATCCTCAACATGTTTGCAAATTCTGAACACATTTTAATGAGCACTACATCACCGTTTTTACTTTCCATAATAATTAGATAACACAACAGAAGATATTTCAGAATATTTCATTTTAAAACTTTGTTGGAGTCTAAATGTGCGTCTCTAAAGAACTCAGAGTCACCATCTGCTGTCTGTAAAACAAAATAGACATCAATACAAATTCTATATTTATATATACATTTTATAAAATGATCTTTTTCCCAATTATTGGAGTAGTAGTATTTTTAATATATTTTTCCATGATAACAAATTATTTAACTACGCACTGAAACAATGTATCGATCTGACCGTTTATACGCAGCCAGTATTTGGATTATTATATAACACTCTTGATAATCGGTCATCATTGGGTTATATGGAGGACTCAAACTGCCACAGTTTAACATAAATAACTCAAATACGTCAAAGTATATTTAAATTAATTGAAGTAGTATTATATAAAATGTGGCAAAAATGTCTTTTAACATGAATTAACAAATACAAAATATAGAAATTTACAGGCAAAATAAACCCCATAAAATAAAATACTTATCATCTGATTTATACTTTTTAAATATTGATTTGATATAAATTTAACCCTGATTCATTCTTTTTTATATGGACTTTGTTTTGAAGCCTTTCCTCACACAGAGCCCAGTATTACAGGAACTACTCTGACTGTTTTAATATGGAAGACTAACAAATACTTATATATTTAAAAAAAAAGTACTTTCTATTAAAGGCAAACACGGGGGATGCAGCAGACAAATGGATTCATATATAAGGAAGAAAAGTCCTGAGCATAAGTTAGCGCTATCTCACCTCAGTCTGAGGCTCAGACTGAATAGAAACATTCCGAGCTGCTAAATCGGAGCTAACGGGCCCGTTAGCTTTTCTGAGCCGGTTCACCGACACCTTTAACTTGTTTCAGTGCTTCAGATGAAACATCCACATTCAGCACCCACTCAGACACTGTGAAGATGACCTGAACTCGAGTCCACACGTGCGTTTTACTGCCTTTTAATACAGTAACAGTAACGAGGCGCTATGCACTATGCATCAAGTACAATCAATATGCACAGCCACAGAAAATGTGTCACCAAGGTAGCTACAAATTACATGGCAAGTTCAAGAGTTACAAATCAGCATCCAGAGTAAGAACGAAGATCATACGAAGCAGAGAAGTTATGCACATTCAGTGTTCAGGGGGAATATCCACAAACAACTATCGGTCTGCCGTTATCTGCTTTATAAAAGTGTGTATGTACAGCGTGGGCCGTCAGAAACACCCGCTCCCCACTCAAAGGCAAACCGGACACCGCTCGGCAATAAATTAGAAGAGAAAATGAGATAAATGGTGTTACTGAGGTCTCTGGGCCAGTTTCCTGGTGTTAAACACGGATATCATGGATCAGAAATGGTGTAAAAATGGCGACGGCGGCTTTACAAAAATCAAGAGCGGCTGAAAATGAAAACAATGAAGTGATGATAACAGCTAAGCGCCAAGCCAGGAGAATAAAAACACACATTAGTTAATAACTGATGGGTCCTCTGTTGTGCAGGACTCCAGAGTCGGTAGTGTGAACGCAGAGAGCGCCTCCCAGTGCTGGAGGCCGGTCAGCTGACAGAGGTGGGCGTCGCGGGAACAAACCGAGGTCGCCGTCCTCACAGAGCCACGGAGAAGTCGTGGCACTCTCCATCCAGATGTGGCAGGAAACAACCTGAGGCAGAAAAATCAAAGCTCACCTCATTTAATAAAAAAAGGTGCAAAGCCACTGCAGCAGAGTCCAGGACTACAAACATGGCGCCATTAATGAGCAGAATGGATCCACACACCTGCTCCGGTGGCTCCTCCTACGTGTCCTTGCTTCCTTTTGCCTCGACTCCTGCGACTCCCCCCTCGACTCCACCCCACCTCCGCCCCTGATCCCCTTCCCTGCAGTCCCACCCCAGCTCTCCCCTGCCCCCACTCGCCCCCCCAGCGTGCTAGCTGTGGGGCTGCGGGGCGATACCGGAGCAGTCAGTGACCAGCAGTCCCACTGTGCTAGCACTGGACACCGTGACCGCCACGCTGGTGGTGCCCACGGGCCCCGTGCTCGTCTGGTCGGGGGTGGGGTCGCCCTGGTTGGCGTGGGTGCCCATGTGACCCTGGAGCTGCGTGGCCGTCTTGCACTGTACCCCGCACAGCTGGCAGAGCAGCACGCCGCCGGCCCCGGTCCCGCCGAAAGCCCCCCGCGCCCCGCCGCTCTCCTTCCACTCCTGGCCGTGGTGCTTCTGGGCGTGGACGCGCAGGTAGGTGAGGGTGGTGAAGCCTGCGGGACAAGAGCACACAGACACGTGAAGGCGGGGTGATGGCGGACTGTCGGTGGTGCTTTCTCGTCACGCAGCCGTGTCTTACTGCGGTTGCAGAGGTGGCAGGCGTGGTGCTGTGATTGGTTGTGGACCCGCATGTGGTCGGTGATGTAAGCGGCCGACAGCAGCTTCCCGCAGATGTGACACGGCACCTTCTCCTCGTGGCGAATCAGGTGAGCACGGAGGCGATCCCGTGTGGCAAACGCTGACGTGCACGTCTGCAGAAAACAGGAAGGCGTGGATGAAACAAGTGAAATTTTCAAAATAAGACGTAGTTGCTTATCAAAACACTTAAGAGGACGAAATGTTCTAAATGTAAAATTTGATGCTTTTTATTGAAATTTTGATGTTGTGGTTTTCTGAATGCAGGACTGGCGGTGCTGGTTTAGAAACAGGAAACAGGTGTTACCGTGCACTTGAACGGCCTCTCTGTGGAGTGCACCTGTCGCACGTGACTGTTGAGGTGGTCCGGTCTGAAAATGCAAACAAGAATGAGATTCATGTTTTTTACTAACTGTTTAAATTGTATTAAGGTTTAAAGCATTATTAGGGGCGGGGCCTCCTTGACTGACAGGCGGCTGTAGCTGCTAACTGTGTGCTAGGCTTCACCTGAACTGGACCGTGTTTGTGCCAATGGAGCTTTTTTAATGACATCATCTGACCAATCATATGGCCGCTCTCTGAGCTCCAGCTTAGGTGAGATTCTGGGATTACGATTGGATGTTACTAATCGGCAGGTGTCTGTGTGCTGGCTACAAACAACCAACATGACGGCAACTACAAAGCTAAAATCCAGAGTAAAGAAACTGACGGATGACATCATGGTGGTTGCAGCCATCTTTTATTTACAGTGTGTGTTTTATACAGCCAGACTTCCTGTAGCAAGTCTGGTTATGAAATGGTTCTAACTTATGAGCTGTGGTGTGTGGGGACACTGCTTCAGTTCACTTGGACGAGCTGAGTGAACAGCTTCCTGATGACTTCACAGGTTCAGGCACTAAAGTCGTGAAGCAGCATAAACTGTATATAGAAGAGGGACGAGGTAGCTGTGAGCAAATCAAGTCGAGCTGTTCCCATTTTCTCTTTCGGATGTTAGGACTGAAACGGGGGGACTCAAACAACTCGTCTTTGTTTTCCTGTTCTCATCAGTTTGTGTTCAATGAGACTTGAAATCAGAGGCTAAGATCAGAAGCTCATCAGGACATAGAGTCCTAAATGACCACAAAACAGTCACATCTACATCTTTCATGGTGTTGCAACTGCTAAATGTGAGCGGTTACATAAACGAGCTCTCTGTGAGGAGTTAACGCTGCCCGAGGAGCGGATGGCGCTCGTACCGAGAAAAGGCCTTGGCGCAGTGCGGGCAGATGTACGGCTTCTCCACGCCGCCCTGGTGCGAGCGCACATGGTAGCTCATCCTGTCTTTCCTCTTGAAGCGCTGCTGGCAGATGGGGCAGGAGTACGGCTTCTCGTCCGAGTGGGACAGCCGGTGGCGGTTGAGGTGGTAGACGTCCCTGAAGGCCTTTCCACAGGCCTCGCAGGCGTGGTTCTTCCTCACCTGATTGGTGCTGGGAATGGGATTAGGATTGGGATTCTGCGGGAAGAGGCAGAGAAGTTCAGTCGTAAATACACTCTGAAGTCTTTTCCTGCTGTCAGAGGGCCTCTCTCTGCTCCCGGCATCAACACTAGCTGATTATGATGCTCGTCTGAGGTTTTCTGATGTTTTGATCCACAAAGATTTAATTCAAATTGTGTGTTTATAACCGTGAATGTCAGCGGCCATGTTTCTGGACACTTCCTGCAGCTGCCGCTGGCATCAAAAGGCCCTGAATGGTCCTTTAATCTTGGCCTTACTCTCTGGCTCTCTTCCCGGTGAACCCACCTGCTCCATGGACCCAACGACAACAACGGCTGCCTGGATGGGCTGAGGCGGCGCAGCCATGGTTACTGTTGCCGGGGCGATGGACACAGACACCGGCTGGCCCTCCTGGTTGACGTGCTGGCCGGGCTGGGGGAGGGTCTCTTGGCCGGGAGCCGCGGGAGGGGGAGGAGGCTGCTGCGGGGGCAGGGCGAGGTGGAGGAGGGAGAGCGGGACCGTCTGCTTCTCCACCCGGCTGGCCTTCGCTCCGTCCTCCTTCTCCCGGGCCGCCCGATCCTTCATCTTGATGCCCGTGTGCACCGACTGGTGCCGCCGCAGGTTGTAGCTGTTCTTGAACTCCTTGTTGCAGGTGGCGCAGATGTGGGCGGGCCGGCTCGGCTTGGTGAGCGGTTTGACTGGCGGACATTAAAGTCACATTTTAGTCACAGTCAGTGCACTCTGAGTTTAACATTCGTCTGAAGAAACGTCGGTAATTTACTGACTTCAGACTAATCCTGTAACACTGGTTTGTAAACTGTTAGAGGACAAACTGAGCTCTAACACAAAAAGATAA